GAGCATCTCCCAAAAATGTTGCCATCATCTTTGTTCTTGTGTGTTTTTTTTTTTTTTTTTTTTTTTTTTGAGACAGGGTTTTGCTCTGTCACCCAGGTTGGACTCAAGTGATCTGTCTGCCTCAGCTTCCCAAACTGCTGGGATTACAGGTGTGAACCACTGTGCCTGGCCTTGAGAGAAAATATCTTTAATACATGTATCCAATAAAAAACTCATACATAGACTATGTAAGGGGACTCCTGGGTTCAAGCGATCTTCCCACCTCAGTCACCCAAGTAGCTGAGACTATAGGCACACACCACCTTGCCTGGCTAATTTTTAAATTTTTTGTAGAGACAAGGTCTTACTATGTTGTCAGGCTTGTCTGGAATTCCTGAGAAGTGATCCTCCTGCCTTGGTCTCCCAAAGTGCTAGGATTACAGGTATGAGCCACTGTGCTCAGCCCTCCCTTGCTCTTGACCAGTTCACTTTTGCTTTGACTGGACCACTTTCATCTCTTGGTAGCTATTGCTTTGATTGTGCTTTGTCTTCAGGATCGTACTAGTAAACCATGTTTCATCTTCTATTACAATTCTTTGAAGAAATACTTTAGGATCTTGATCCTACTTGTTTAAAATTTCCATGGAAAGTTCTGCTCTTGGGGGCACAATGGTTCTGGCACCCATCCAGTGGAAAGTTTGCTCAACTTTAATTTTTTAGTCAGAATTGTGTAAGCTGAACCAATTGAGATGCCTATAGTGTTGGCTATTGTTTCTGCTGTTAATTGTCAGTCCTCTTTAATTAGGGCATGAAGAAAATTACATTTTTTCCTTGCAAATTGATGTGAGTAGTGTGTTGTTGCAGGCTTCATCTTCAGTATCACCTCATTCCTCCTAAAATGAGTTATCCGTTTGTAAACTGCTAATGTCTTTGAAGCATTGTACCCATAAACTTTTTGTAAAACATCAATAATTTCACCATTCTTCCACTTAAGCTTCACCATAAATTTGAGGTCTTGTTATTGCTTCAATTTTAGCTGAATTCATGTTGCTCTGATAAGGGCTCTTTTCAAATTGATGTCTTATCCTTCTTAGGACTTCAAACTAGATCCTGTTCAGACATGTTATATTAAGTTAGTATGAGTTTATTTTGGTGCAAAAACAAATAAATCTATGCATAGTTTTTTTTTTTTTCATGATACACATTTTCTGTGAACTTTTCCAAGGCTCCTCCTGTAAGAAACTCCTACAAATTAATGATAAAAAGACAGACAATTCAATATTCTTAAATGAGTGGAAATGTGTACCTGAAAGAAAGAGAATATCCATATGGCCACTAAGTGTAAAAGGTGTTCATCATGCTTAGGTATCAAGAAACCAAATATAAGCCATAATGAAATAACACTCTACCTCCACCAGAATGTCAACAGCAAGTTTTGGTGAGGATGCGGAGCAAATGGAACTCTCATACATTGCTCATGGGAGTGCAAATTTGTACACCACTTTGGAAAAAATTCTGGCAGTATCTACAAAGTCAAACGTATGTACACTCGTTGAACCAGCAGTTCCACTCTTGAGTATGAACACTGCAGAAGTGAGTGCTTATATCCACCAAAAGACATGGATGAATGTGTTCATAGCAATTACAGTAATGGCCCTAACCTGATAAAAATTCAAATGTTCATCATGAGTGGAATGAACAAATAAATTGTGAGTGAATGATCATGCTATAATAATGATACAGAAATAAGAATGAACAAACCACATTCAACAACATAGATGAATCTCATACAAAATATTAAAAGAAGACAGACATAAAAATAATATATTGTATGATTTCATTTGTATGTAGTTCAAAAGCAAGCAGAACTAATCTGTGGTAAAGTTCAGACTGTCATCATTTTTAGTGACATATTGATGGAATGGGATGAGGAAGCTTTGTGGAATGCTGGAAATATCTGTATCTTTAGTTGATGCTTATGTAAAAATTAATTAAGCTGTACATGTAAGATTTATGCACCTTACTGCATATAAGTTATCTCAAGAATAAATAAATGGGTTGGTTGAGAGTTATGTCCATATATCAGTAGACAGAATGATGGTGAATAAAATAAGCTTGATATTTGATTTTATAGGTATCAATAAGAATTCTTGGGTGGAACATGTATGTGGAATATAGAATTTAAGTGAAACTTTGGTTAAAAATATGTAATATGCTGGGCCTGGTGGCTCACACCTATAATCCCAGCATTTTTGGAGGCCAAGGCAGGCAGATTGTTTGAACTCAGAAATTTGAAACCAGCCTGGGCAACATGGCGAAACCCTGTCGCTACTAAAAATACAATGGGGGTTTGTATTTTTATATTAGGGAAGCATCTTTTAAAAAGTAATTAATTAATTAATTTTTAAAAAGTCTTGCTGCATTGCCCAGGCTGGTCCTGAACTCCTGGTCTCAAGCGATCCTCCCAGCTACTCAGGAGGCTGATGTAGGAGGATTGCTTGAGCCCAGGAGGTTGAGGCTGCAGTGAGCCATGATTGCGGTACCCCAGCCTGGGCAAGAGAGTGAGACTCTTGTCTCAAAAAAAAAAAAAAAAAGTAATATAATGTGAGTAATAATAGTAGTGTAGTAGTCAAAGTTCCTATTTGCAGAAAAAAACAACTAGAAAACAAAAGTGAAGGCGATTTGGGCTATTTGCATTTCCTAAATAAATTATGTCGTACAGAATATCATCATCATAAAAGATGTCAATATATTTTCTGGGGAGAAAATACCATGTTTGTATATTTCAGTGTCTAGTCAGAACAATATAAATAACTCTAGGTTTTTTATATTTCCTAAACTATGGTGTGCAGAATACTGTAGTCATACAAGATGTTAATATGTTTTCTTGGGGGGAAAATGCCATGTTTGAATATTTAACTGATCTGTCAGAACAACAGAAACCACTCTAGGTATTTCTAACACTGAGCCATTAACACAGCAGGTAGTTTGCAAAAGTGTTAGTGGGGTTGAAGAGACAAAAATGTGAATGGATGCAACCCAGATATCAGTAAGTACTGGAAGCTGCCAACTCCTAAGGCTGGAGGAGCAAAAGGGAAAGGAACATTGCCCAGATCCCATGAGTGCTGTGATGCGGAGATTTCTAACACCACACTGCCACTGCTGTTTTGCAAGAAGCTAGGAATTCCAGTGATGGCTCAGGATTCTGGGAGCCACAGTCCCATTTTCGCTGGACTCCTAGCCTCAAGAGATCCTCCTGCCTCTGCCTCCCAAAGTGCTGGGATTACAGGCGTGAGCCAGTGTGCCCAACCTACATCTACCTCTTTACTTCTGGATTTTTCAAAACCTTTCATATGCTACTGTGTTCAAAAGAGAGTTATAGTTTATGGCACTTCTCATTTTATATGATTAAAGACATATTATTTTCCCCCACAGAACACATTTGTAACATCTGATAAAACCTCAGCCTAGAAAAAAATAGAAACAAACAAAAATGCTATTGTTGTTGGAGTATAATAAGGACATAGAACA